TGAAGAATGTCCAGGCTATGGGCCAATCAAGAGGTTGATATATGAACTGTCCCACTCCCTAGTCAAAGCTGGCCTCAAAAAAGTTCCCCATCCTTGGTGCATTCTCAAGCATAAACCGAATTCTTCCAAATGTACTCACCTGCGTCCAATGATGGTGTTTCTAGAGAAACGTTAACTATTCAGACTGCAGATTAAATGGCCTTACTTGCCTAAGGTTAGCCACTTTTCAAAACACATTATTTTTATTGGAATTATTCAATTAAAATGTATTACAATTTATTTTTATTTTATTTTTTGCATAATACATATCATACATGCCAGTCAATTACAGGAAAAGGTTGCACACCTTTTCACTGGTCCTGGCTCTTGTGTAATATGGCTTGTAGACATGAGCAAGCAATGTGCTTATCTCCATGCTATGAAAAGTGTCACCTGTTAATGTCTGCAAATCAATCTGACATATGAACGCTGCTGGATCAGACCAAAAGCCCATCTAGACTAGCATCCTGGTTTCACAGTGGTCAATCAGATGTCTGTGGGAAGTCCGCAAGCAGAATATGAGGGCAATCTCTTGTTTAATTTTTATTGAAGCCTACCCTTACACTTTGCCTATACAGCAGATAAATACTAGTTTTTTTTCTAGTCCATTGGTAGCCCTATACCTGCCTCCGATATCTAGGCCTATCACTGTTCAGCATCCCTGATTAAGGTTCAGTGAACTCAGCATTTCTTCTGGTCCAAGGTAACACAGATACACATGGAATTAGATTATATGAAGGATGCACCTAAAATATGGAATATACATTTGGTAAGTGTATGCTGCGGGCAAGGGGAGCCATAATGGCCCCAAATCTCAGGCTAGTGGTATGATTAAAGAAAATACTTTCTGGTCTTAAATATTTTTTATTGTAAACCACATTGATTTTTTTATGAAATAGTGATCTATAAATATTTTTATAAACAAACAAACAAGCACCTGCAGGGTCACAGGTCCGCAAACCCCTGCCACAAAGGAACGCCAAGTATTTCATATTATAGACATTGAAGAACAAATCTGCACATGGCCTTTTCTGACCTGTGTTATTACAATGAGACTGTGAGGACTAGTAACCAGCACTCTATGAATCACATCCAAGTAGGATCAATTCATAATGCATCCCACTCAAGAGTTTGCTCATATGAAGCAAGCCAGATAACAGCAAGAGGGGAAAGCTCTCATCTGACATGTCTATACAGTATTCCCAAACACAGCAAAAGTAGGGGAGAAGACTCCAGATCCTTGGCACATCCAGTCTCTGCTCTCTACTGAAAGTGCAATTAGGGAAGGTCAGTTACTGTCAATAGGACTGGTGGTTTCTATAAGAGAAGCACAGGTCTCACAAGGAAACTGGACCAAGAGCTGTCAAACTTGTTTCACAAAATGTATCAGATTGTGACAATTGCCATTACTTCTAGCTCAGTTTGAAGTCAGACTTCTAGGCAAAAATCACACGGTCCCTGGCAGTTTAAAATGGTTGTGTCTTACATTTGGGGATGCTTAAGACCAAAACCCTACATCTGCCTGAAAGTAGGTTTAGCATGAGCATGTAGGCTGCCAAAGAAACCAGTCGCTTTGCTCCTCCTCCTCCTCTGATGCACTGTGTAAACTAAGTCATGATTTGGCTTAGCACGTTGTCTGAACGGGGACTCATGGTTTGTCTCACTGTAGACAAACCGCAAGCTGTAACTAAGATTTGTACTTTGGTTTACAGCTTGTTGCTCTTCTGCAGGAGAGAGACAATAAGTATTCTGCCTTTGAAAATATTAAAGCTAGCAGCTATTTGACTCCCTTTCTGTAACTGGAATATTAATAAAGTGGAAATAAGTTTTAAATGGTGCAGCGGGCATGTAAACTACCAAACACCAACTATCGCCTATCAAAATATACAGCAACTTGTCTACAATACCATTTTAATGTGTTTTAACTTCCAAGTTTAAGCAATACTTTTAATCATGTGTTTAGTAAAGTAATGTAAAAACTTTCTAACCGAAGCTATAAATCTTATAATATGAAAGCCAATATGTCTGCAAAATTAAAATGGTGTAGTGAAATTATGGTTTCACATCCAAGAATTTCACAGCTTGAAAAGTTTTGTTTTCTTACCAAAAGGTAGGAAGTTTGGGCTTAAGTTTAGTAAGATTTACAGTCACTTCTTCAGGTTCAAAATTGGATTTGAAACTTGCTAATGTGGGAAGTCAGTGGATTTCAGATCCCCACGACACATACGTGAACTTCAACACCAGTGTTAACCCTCCATAAAGAGAACATTTCTGGAGACACAGAGACCCACAGGCATGCATATCATTATGAAGTCTCCAACTGACCTTTTATGACTAGACCTTCAGCCTTATATAAATAAGAAAGTATGGAGAAGCTATAAATGACCCAATAATCACCATCTTGCCTTGCATGTTAATATACAGACACTTCTAAGGTTGAAGAGCAGGGCTACAAAGGCAGCACACAGCAGTTGTTGGTGCTAAATGTAATTACTTTGAAACAAAAGGGAGGGAACTTCAAACTTGTTCTTAGGAGGTTTGGGGTGGGTGATATCCAGTAAAAACTGAGAATAGCTCTTTTCTGCTTCCATAATACAAATACATAATAATAAACCATAATATTTCTAGAACAACACAGCAGCCTAATGGCTTTCTGGAAATGAAATATATCACTCCGAGTTTACTAGTAAACATTTGGAGGATATCCGCTGGAACTGCGATTGCCATTATTAAGCACTCACTCAAATCAATATATTACAGCATAATCCTAAATACGTTTATTCAGAAGAAATTCCTGTTGTTTTCAGTGGGGCTTACTTCCAGATAAGTATGTATACTGTTTGAGTACACGCATAGGAAATTTGCACTGATTTGTGAGGAAATTGGGGTACATGCAATTATACTTGGCTGTATGTCTTGCTCACAATCACCATGGGAAAGTTGAAACCTTGCCCACAATCCCTTGCCTCAGTTTCCCAGGACAGGTAAGCGCCTACCCCATACCTAAAAGCAAGTAAAAGCCCTATTATCTTTATGTTTCATCATGGCACAAACTTCACAGCTTAAACAGCTTAAAAGACAATGGTGGAACAATCTCCCCAAAGCAGCATGTCTTTATTTGGGAGGTTATATTTCATGCAGTAGCATACAGTGCAACCCAGGTGCTGTTTTCGAGATAGCTATTCCCTTGAACGGTGTAAGCTCTTGCATGTCTAGGCCTGCAGGACCAACCATACATCCAGCCCTGCAGAGCCATGACCAAACAGCAACCTGCCTGCAAGGCCTCACCATCAGAAAGTGGCCTGGAGTACAAAGTGCCTTCCTCTTAGAAGTCCCATATACAAGAGCTCCTCAATAATGCTTTGCCTTATTCACAAGAGGCTATGTATATGACCTAGAAGAAACTCTCCAGTTTCCCTCATTAATGTTCTCCTGCACATCCATAAGAACTCTACAAAGAACAGGCAAGCGGCAGCCTCCAATACATTGCAGCCATTGAGAAAACTATTAAATGGAAGGGAGAAAGGGCCTGACACAGTCCGCCTGCCCTGGTGCAACAACCAAAATACCATGGATTATGACAGACAATAGGAAACCCTCAAGAGACCTCTCTTTTTAGTTCTTTGCCCTCTGATCTCACAGCTTCCCTATTTCTTTGTTAAACCATTAACACTGTAGGTCAGCTGCCCAGAACTAATCAGTCAGAACTGGATCCCCTGTTATGACTGATATAGGGTGGATATTTAACACACTGGTCAAGCCCATCCCATCTTGGGTTTTCAATATTAACACAGTTGTCATATCCTCTCCCTTCCCCGCTCCCCAGTTAAATTGCTCTTGTCCTTCTCCCCACCCTCCCCTTCTCTCTTTCTCTCTCTCACACACATCAATACTATAAACTTCCAAATGTAACTTTCTGCAATACAACATAAATCTACACATACAACGAATCTACCAAAGCATTTGTTTTTACGCACGTGACCAACGAGTGAGAAACACAGCATTACGCACATAACACACACAAAGGTAATTAATTGAGGAAATGTGTTTGTGCAATCCATGAGTTGTCAACACAGCGGCCCTATGGCCTAGGTTCAAGCTGGCGATAGATACAGGCACAAATCCTGCTTCAAAAGACTTCCTCTTGGATGTTAATAAATAATATGAATATTATAAGATTTTTTAAAACTCACAACGTCCGTAAGAGCAACACTGTGATGCCCGAGAGACCAGAAAGATTATATAACCTATTTTTATACAGAGATATATGCTCCATTCTAGTTATCAATATACAGTCTGGATCATACACACGAAAGCCCTTTTGGCAGACGGACAGGCTCTGATTACAACCAACTGGGACGGACAAAGCATAACTATATATAAGGAGGAAATTAATCCAGCTCTGTTACAGGCCACGGACTTCAAAACTTGAAACGGAGCATGAACCATGACTCGACGTCAGGCATCTCTGAGTGTACCCCCAAAAGGACAGTGTAGGATTTGTTGTTTTTCCCTTTTCTTTTAAGGATTTGGAGCTCCCAGCAAAGCGAGCTCTGAGAGGAGGGAAACTTGCCCCCAAGGAAAGAGTAGCAGCCCAAGACAGGCTCCATAGACATAAACTGGTGGATACAATGTTCTTTCCCAGAGGAAAACCGCAACAAGGCATGGCTGAAACCCGGGGGGGGGGCAAGGGGGTAAAAAGAAAATGGGCTCCCCCCCCTTCAACTTTTCTCTTCCTAGCGTGACCAATTCCATGGGCGGGAGAGAGGGGGGGTCGCGGTTTGGGTCTGGGGGTGGATAAATATGGGAAGGGGCAGGGGGCGGGGAAACTCCCCCCGCAGCCCGGGACATCTGTGTGGGAAAAGGGGGGCGCAATAGAGACGAATCCTCTCCTTCCTCTCCCGGAGAGTTTCCAAGGCCGGGATGGGAGCGCTCGCTCGCCCGCCCGCTTGCTTGCTTACTTACTCCGTGCTCCGTCCGGGGAAGGGTGGGTGGTGGTCCCGCCGGTGCAGCCGCTTGAGGCTCTGGATCGTTTGGGTGAGGGGGGGGAAGAAGGTGACAGGGCAGCAGGAAGGGGGGGAGGCGCGGCTGGCTGGCTGGCTGAGGAATCCGCCGCGCACCGAAAGGAGCTCTAGCCGGGCGCCGAGCAAGAGCGACGGGAAAGTTTGTGCGAAGGAGGGAGGAGCAGAAACTTGGAAAGGGAGAGAAAGAAGGAGGGAGGGAAGGAAGGAGAGCAGGAGCCGCCAGCCCCCGCCCTTCTCGCCGATGGACAGCCTCCTCCTCCCGCGACCATCTCTGGGGGAGGAGACCTGAGGAAGAGGGTCGTCCCCCCACCCCGCGCCTTCTCTTTCTCGGGTGGAGGGGGGAGTTTTTCTGCCGGAGGCAGGACGGGAGGGAGGCTGGGAGGAAACTGGATGCGTTTACTGGAAAAGGCTGGATCATTAGGGCCAACCACCCTCTTCTAATAAAGAGTGGGGGGTGGGGAGTCTGTTTGCAAGGGGGAATCATGTCCGGTGGGTACATAAGGCGGAGTGGACTTCGTGGTCAAATGTTGAATGGGGCCCCAAAGTTATCTTTCTTCCCTTGAGGGAGTAATGCATGGCTTGAGACAGAGCGTTTGACTTCAGCCGCGAAGCTCCAGGTTCAAATCCCGCCTTCGCTAGGAAGTTCAGCGTGTGACCCTTCAGACTGACACTTAAATGTTGGGATGCGGGACGGCGGGGTGGGGAGTGGAGAGAGAGCAAGCTACACTATACACACTCAGGACCGAGTTCCTTGCAGGGAGGCTCGGCTCTAAAATGTACTTTTTAAAAAACGGGAGAGAGATCTAGGCCTACTTTTGAATGTAGCAACAGGCGCATTTGCGCAGCACTCCAAGGCGAGTTTGCTTTCCTTCTTAGCATGCATGGGATTTGGAGGCTGCAGGTCTGGAGAACTTGGTTTTGTTTTTACTCTTGCGTGAGAGGAAGCCGTGGGATGAATGGTCTCTTTGGGGCAACTAACAGCAACTTTTCCAGAAGGGATGAGCTGCAGTTGTGGGGGCGCCTGCCTGCCCCCTCTCCCAGGCGCAGCCCAGAGGAACGCCTGAGCGCGGAGGTCGTCCTGGGCAGGCAGAACCTGTCTGCGAACAGGTTGGGCGGGTGCCGACCGCCTCGTCTCTCCTTCAGCCCCGGGCAAGGAGTGGCAGGGAGAGCGCAGGGGGGCTAAGCGACCCGCCCGCCTGCGTCGGGGGCGGGCGGAGGCCCGGCTGCACTGGGAGTCGCCCTCCGCTGGAGGAGGCGCGTTGCCGGATCTCCGACCAGCAGCCCCTCCTGCCCTGAAATCTCAGCCTCAGCGCTCGGCTGCTGACGTCACGGGCGGAGGAGCGGCCTTCTCGCTTCCCCAGCCGGCCATGGCGGCTCCTCCGCCGAGCCTCCCGCTGCAGCGACTCCTAGGGGTCACGGGGCGCAAAGGACGCCGCTCCCTCGGAACCGCTCGATTGCAAACCAACCAAGCCGCAGTCGGCAATAGAGGAAGTCGGTCAGACTTTTCAAATCTTATTTTCTTCCTCTCTTCGCCAAGGGGCGGGCTGCAAGGAAACGGATCCGACATGGGGTGGGGTGGAGGGGGAAACAAAATCTCCTCGCGCGCGCGCTCCTGCTTCAGCGGCCGCCCGGCCTTTTTTCAAACGAGCGAAAAAACGCGGGTTATAAAACGCAGAGGCTTAGGAAGCGATGCGGAATTTGCCGCACGCGTGCAAATGCAATCGGTTGAATGGGGCGTTTTATAAGGATTCTGAAGAACAGTCGCGCTTGGAAGAGTCGCTTTTGAAGTACAGCATTTGAGCACGAAAAAGAGGTGTCTCCACCTTGCTTTTTTGTCCGTGTTTCTCATTACTTCCCAGCCGGTGATCTTTCTACCCTCAAGTGTCCCAGAGTCTCCTGCGCTCTCCTTGCACACCTCTGCCCGTTCTCCTTTCCAGACCCTCAGCCCGAAATACATCTAGCCAATTCATTCCCCAACTTCCTTGACACATCGCTTCATAAAACCCATCGATGAATTCTATGGAAGGCCATAGCTGACTGGAGCCTGGGTGCCTCCCTCGGGAATATTGCAGACCGCTTCCCCTGAACGACCAACTTTTATAAACAAAAACAATTTGTCTTTCCCCTACAAGTCATTTTATTTGTGGAGGCAGAAGGAAAGGCAAGCAACTAATACTAGTATTCTTCCCACCTGCTCCATAAGAAGTAGATCATACGCATACCCTCCAACATTTCTCCTATGAAAATATGGGTGTTCTAGTCAATAATAATAATAATAATAATTCTACTATTTATAGCCCCCCTCCCCATCTGACTGGGTTGCCCCAACCACTTTGGTCAGCTTCCAACATATATAAAAACATAATAAAACATCTCTGCTTATCTTCCACTTTTGAAATTGAGTTTGCTTGGAGAGGCGTCTCTTTTGCTTATGTTATGTTTCTAGCTCTTGGAACAGGATCCTTCCTTGCAATGCTACTCAGACCTCTTCAGGGGCAGAGATCACAAATGGAGATTTATATAGGACATCTTCACCATCTCCTACCGGTTCAGAGGCCTTCCCCTAGTTAAGAGTCACCTCAGTGATATTGATGGGTAATAGATTAAGGATAAAGGATGCACAATCAACATGTGGAACTTGTACAATGATCTAAGGTGTGCTCACTTAGCACCCCACATGAGGGACAGCAGGATCACACCCACTGGTCATACCACACTGCCATACTAACTGGTCCAGACCCATGGCAGCTGCACATATGCATGCATATGTAAGGGCTCCTTCATGCAGGTAGTTCTGTTTGCACCTGGGGTCCTTCACACTAACACCAAATCTGAAGCCACTGATTACACTGGGATTGGGGGGGGCATGGCCAGCATGTACATTCCTCTGCCCTTCATGCATGTGATGATTGCATGGGTGGGTGTTGTGTTTGAACGCCCCATTAGTAAGAGTCACTGGTTAGATAGAGGCTTTAAAAAGTTGTCTGCTCCAGGCCCCTGTCACTCACGGATCATCTCCTTTTAAACTTCAACCCACTACCCATTTAGGATGGGTGGTGCTATGGTCTAAACCACTGAGCCTCTTGGGCTTGCCGATCGGAAGGTTGGGGGTTTGAATCCCTGCAACGGGGTAAGCTCCCATTGTTCTGTCCTAGCTCCTGCCAACCTAGCAGTTCAAAAGCATCCCAATGCAAGTAGATAAATAGGTACCGCTGAGGCAGGAAGGTAAACGCCGCTTCCTTGCGCTCTGGTTTCCGTTACGGTGTTCTGTTGTGCCAGAAGCGGTTTAGTCATGCTCGCCGCATGATCCGGAAAGCTGTCTGTGAACAAATGCTGGCTCAATTGGCCTCAAAACAAGATGAGCGCCGCAACCCCATAGTCGCCTTTGACTGGACTTAACTGTCCAGGGGTTCTTTACCTCTTTCTTACCTTACCATTACCTATTTAATTTTGGACTGAGGGACTGAGGACTCATCAAGTTGATCAGTCACTATATGCTATCCCTGTGCTGTTTAAGTCCTTTTTCAAAGACAATTGCGAATTCCTCCTCTTTTTTATTTTAATAGGGCAAATATGTGTGCTCTGGCTCAGAAGAGGCAGAAGTATTACAGCCTTAAGGACACTAAATGTGAAGAAGTTCATGCAACAGCAGAGCACTGCTGGGGGGGGGCAGGAGGTGTGTTGCATACACCAGTTGTTGTGTTAGATTTATGTTCCTGGTTAGATTCATGTTCCTGGAACAGTACATCAGGGGAGCTCTCGGCCCCTAAAGCAATAAATAAAATGACCCCAAATGACACAGGCCAGGGTGGGGGAGTTGTGTCACTCATCATCACCCTTCATATAACAGGCAGGATCCATTAGGTGCTCCTTTGGAATGGGAGATTACATTCTAAACAGCAGTCACAATTGCACACAACTGCGGCACTATTTGGGAAAGGATCACCTATTTTCCCAAGTGCAAATTAGTGTGCTTTGAATGCCTAGAAAATGCAAATCGCCTAGAAAGAGAAGTGCTAGCTTGAGGGAAGACCTCAAAATCACATGCAACAAATGAGTAACAACCAGTTAGATTTTTTTTTATTCTGGATTCCCATGGTCAAATGGAGGTCCCCTGCGTTAGAAGGTGATGCGTATTACTTCCCTTACTTCAGCTGGGTAAGCCAGCCCAACTGTGTATAGAGGCTATCCGGCCCCTCTTTTTGCTGATGTCTACCCCAAAGTCCTGCCCTGATGACACCACTTTTGTTATTATATGCAAAGGAAATCATGCCACCTGAGCTCCCTTCAATGCACCTTAGTATGTGGAAACATGGTGTTTCCACATGTCTAACATGGTATTTATGTTGAAGCCTTTCATCAAGGGAGGGGGCCCTCCAGGGGCTGTCAGTCTTCATCTCCCAGCATCCCTGACCATTGGCCATGCTGGCTGGGTGTGATAGGAGCTGAAGTTTATCAACAACTGGGGGGGGCACAGGTTCTCCATCCCTGACTTATTCCTCATGGGAAATAGGGAAAGGAAAGAGAACTTGGAAGCCAGTGCCTTTGAGGCCCTTGCAAAAATAGGGATGGCAAGGCAGCAATGAGTGGGCGAAGGAGAGGGAGTGGTAAGGTGTGAGATGTAGACACAACAAGGTCAAAAAAGAAATTAGGTCAGAGCTGTTGTCAGTGTGAAGGGTTATTGTACAGAACTTCTTGTCCGCCACTTACAAACCATTGTAATTAAGTGGTGTATGAATGGCTGAAATAAAGAACAGGCACGGACAGAATGGACTGTAACAGAGAGGGGGAACTATGGCCCTTCAGGCATGGGTTGGACTATAACTCCCATCATCCTTGACCTTTGGGCCAAGCTGGCTGGGCTTGATGGAAACTCATTCAGCAGCATATGGAAGGCCATGAGTTTCACATCAGTGGACTGGAACCCTAGGTAGCAATATCAACAGTAGATCATTTCAAAACAACATTTGGGTTTTCTCATTTTTCAGTCTTGGTTGATCGATAACATTTATAAGTTCACCCTTCATCAAAAGGTCCCATAAGGCAAAGTGAGGTGGTGCACGTCCAACTCCTGCACTTGTTGGCCACTGCCGCCTCCTCCATTGTGTGCCTGCACACCCTTCTCATTGCTTTCTGGTTTTGATGCACCCCCCCCCCCCCATTTTCCTTCTGCAATTTGTTCTCTTTGCTGGCCTGCATTCCCTTTCCTCCATCCACCTCTCAGGAGTCATGTCAGTTTTCTGTGATGCAGCACATGGGATATCCAATGACACCAAAGTAGGCTTCTCCCCTGACAGTCTGCCCAGCTCCTCCCTGGGATCTGAGTCACTTGTCCCCCAGCCCACTGAGCCTTTTC